CTGTTCGAACTCGTTCATCAAAATGAACGAATCTTTTTCCGAGTCAATTCGTTCATTTCGTTCGTTAAATGAATCAAATGACTCGAAAAAAGATTCGTTCATTTTGATGAACGAAATCGAACAGGAGAGTCACACAGAACAGAGCAATGCGGGCATTTGAGCTTATAAAACTTAAACTTTGTTATTTATTTTTTAAAAGACCCTTATTCATCGTCTGGAATTGTTTAAAGCCCTTTGAACAGTTTGCACTGAAACTGTCTTTTGGACCTTGGACAGTTTGGTGCCCAGTAAAGTGCATTATATGGAGAAAAATCCTGAAATGTTTTCATCAAAAACCTTAATTTCTTTTCGACTGAAGAAAGAAAGACATGGACATCTTGGATGACATGGGGGTGAGTAAATTCTCAGCAAAAGTTTTTTTAAAAGTGAACTAATCCTTTAAACAACACTGGACTAAACTGAGCTGAACAATGTGACTTGTTTTCTTTAGAGCTGCATGCTTTACAGCTGAAATTATTTTTGGTGAATTTAACTAAATTAACACTATTATTTCCCTGTTTATTAATGTGAAGCTGCTTTGAAATGATCTATATTGCATAAAGTGCTATATAAATATGAGACATTATTTCAAAATATCTTCTTTTGTGTTCACAGAATGAAAGTCATTAGTCATTAGAATGAAAATAAGTGTGAATAAAAGATATAATATTCATTTTTGGGTGAACTATCCTTTTAAATGAATGCTTGTGCAAATGTATTCATATGCATAACCCAGCATAAACCAAATCTGTTCATTTATTTATCGTTATTTCAAACTGTTTATCCTGTATCAGCCCCATTGTTTCAGCATTGTCCCTCTCGCCCGACACCACACATCAGCGGACGCCGCTGAAACTCTTCCTCGTGTGGTTTTGGTGTGGGTTGGATGAAAACCGTCTCAGTGGAGGAATTAGGCTGGATTGCAGACAGCGAGAAGGGGAATCTGGGACTGTTCAAGGTGACTTTGTGATTGGGTTCCAAATCCAGCTCAGAGGGTACGACTGTAGCGACCCAGAAAACACACTCGCGCTTAATCTGGGGTCAGGCACTATGGTGACGCATCTCTCCCTGCTATAAAACAGAACTGTATTTATTTAGGCATATTGGGCTCAATTTTGAACTTGATAAGAGTTAACTTGTGTATACCTCTGTGACGCCACGTTGTTTTCAAAAGCAGCAAATTCACTTAGACAGAAATGCTTCACAGGCTGCTGGTGTGATTAAGGCAGACGGGAGTCTTTGCAGAGCACATGGTAAAGCCACAAGATCTGCTGGCTGTGTCGTAAACGCTCTGACACAGGGATGCACGCGGCTCACTTACAACGATGGATCAGAAATCTCTTTATGAATTGTCAAAGCATTATGCATCTTACAGATTGTGTGGTCTTGCATGTGCAGAGATTAGTCAATGTGCGAGGATGAATGTGGAGGAAAGAGATCGAACATAAAGCCGAGAAGAAACAAACCACTATTCGAGGCGATAAAAGTTTGCTTTGACATATTCCTGCAGAAAACAAAACCTCTTAGACTTTGATGAGATTAAATGACCTTTTGCTTAAAGTCAATATGATTGAATTGACTTCCTCTGCAGATGTTCCTGGGTTTTTACAGAGAAGCTTTTGGATTTCTCTTTTTACCACAAAATATTGTCAACAGCCAGACGAAAAATCATCATGTTTATAGGAATAAAATGTTATATAAATCAGTCTGTAAAATAGATGAGATTTCTGACTCATTTTGAGAGAACAGCCTTGAAAGACATGTAATGTAATTGAAATCTACCGACGCAAATAGATAGTGTAATAAAATAAATGCATAAAATGTCCATTTGGATGTTTTTGTTCCACTAGTGCACAAGAGAACATGTTAAAGTTCCCCTCTTGTGAAAATCAAGCTTTTAAATTTGTTTATGTCTATGTCTATCTTTTAATATGCTTTAAGACAAACAACGTGCAAATTCCAACGCTATCTCACGACCAATTCGTACGAATTCGTACGAGTGATTAAAAGGTGGCTAATTCGTACTAATTCATATGACCTCACTCGTACGAATTCGTACGATTTGTCTAAAAACCCACGTGATGGGTAGGTTTAGGGGCGGGGTCAGGGGTAGGTCATCCGTACGAATTCATACGAATTTGGTAACTCGTAAAATATGTAAGAATTAGCAAAAATCGTACGAATTTGTACGAGTGAGGTCGTATGAATTAGTACGAATTAGCCACCTCGTAAAATTCGTACGAATTGCCGTGAGATCAAATTCATAAGGCAAATTCATAAGTCGACAGCATTGCTGAGTCTTTTCTCCTTAAAACTTCAGTGAACCAAAGACAGTCTCAAAAGCGCGTTTTGAAATCGCTGGTGTTTCTGACGTCACAAACGACCTTGTAACCAATCAGATCAACGTGTGATCGTCAACGAGTGGATCTCTGAGCCGTTGTGAGTGAGTGGAGGCGGGGCTCATTTGCATATTCATAGAACCGCGTATACTAAATGAATTACATTCAAGCTATTTTAAGGCATGAAGACTTTTTTTCCAAGGAAAAAATAGGAAATTTGGTGATCTAAGATGAGTTTTAAGGGATAAAATTATTGACTACAGGGGGACTTTAAGGAAGCAAAATAGCCCAAAATCTCAAAATGGACCAGTGCATGAAAAAAGCAATGCTATGTTCCTCGCTGATGTCACAGAAGAGAGTGTCTGCACTTTGCGGCAGAAGAAAGAAGGAAGAGGCCATCAAAGGATGAAAGGTTGGAGCGTGGGGTTTAGAGGTCATGGGTCAGGAGGCACAGAAGAACGGGACACTTTTGCATTTGTGGGGGAAGGCCACAGCGTTCTTCCATTCTTCGTAAACCGTTCCTCCGATTCCCACTAGGAGATCCGTTCGAATCCCAGCTCATGCATTTCCCGAGTTTCTTCAGGACGCGAGACCATCTTTTATCTGTCTGGAACACCAGGTTTAGGCTCAAGGCAGACAGAGGGGGTGAAGCGTCTCCTCCTAAACCCTCCTAAAAGAGGCTGACGGTCGGGTGGGGGTTTCACGTGAAAAAGACAGATTCGAATCCGACGCATGACAGATGGGTAAGAGTCATCTTTAGCGGCATCAAACGTTGGCGAGCCATTGAAGTCATCTGAATGAGATGCTAGCTGTTAGTGGCCTGACAGTTTTGCACATGGACAATGTAAGCAACGCTTTGTAAGAAAGGGCCAGTGTGTTTTGTAGAGTGTGTCTACGGTGTCGTTGCATCAGAATAGAGTGTGTCCTTGTGTGCGTCCCATGAAAGTGGAGCTCTTAAAGGCACGTTTAAAAAGGGACGCCCACTCTTTGTGGACACTTTTCAGCCTGGTGTATTGAGAGGCCTTTGTCCCCACCTTTCATCTGGGCGCACAATGGACCGGCCCGTTTTAAACACAACGGTAGATGAACTGCCCTGACAGTGTATTAAACGCGGATGAATTGCCAGTGCATGGCATAGATCAATGTCCTCCAACCTTTCACATACGCAGGGCCGCGGTCTTCTCCCTGTGAAATAGAGCGGGCTGCTTTCAGAGACGCTAATTATATTCATGTTTTGATGGAGGAGAAGCTGTTTAAAATGTGCAAATTGTCCTCGTTTCAAGACAACTGTCTGAAGTCAGTCTGGTTTAAATGGAAGGTTAGTTTGGTCAGACTTAAAGTTTGTAATTTTTTCAATGTTAAAATAATTTCTTATTTAATGTGCACAACTATGAGTAAACCATTTGAAGACTTACTTACTGAATAATGCAAACACTGTGACTCTCTGGTGCTTTATAAACATTTATTTGGATCTGTTGGATCGACTTGGATTGGCAAATAACACCCTAGCGATGCATGGGCAAGCACCACTCAAAATTTCTTTTGAATTTTTTTGATAAAATCTTCTTTTTTTGGCCATTTAAGTGCCTCTGCTGATTAAAATAGATCCTCCGTTTGGGTTGAAATTGACTGCAAATTATAAAATATAGGTTTCATATTTGACAAACTACAATAAAGTCACATCAATCAAGTAAAATGTATTACTTTTCACAATACACATTGTTTCAAAGCTTTGCAGAAAATCATTATGTTAATGTTTATAAAATCTGATCTATAGTCACATTTAGCAAAGCTGGACGATAATATAGTTCACATTTTGCAACGATACAAGCAATCAAGCAGTTGAGATATGCAATATTGTTGTATGAATATATGCAGATAAAGTTAGACATACATGCATATCCATAAAGAGCTGGATGATAATATAGTTACTAGATATTTACTAGTATAGAATATTCTATGTTACGAAGCTTTTCTATTTTTCTCAAGTGTTGATTTTTGGCGAATCTCATGGAAACCATTGGGATGTCATTTTGACGGCATCATAGGGAGGACACACTGATGTGTCAAAACTTTGCGTTCACATTCATGACACTAAATGAGAAAAGTCTCAAACTTGTAGTTTTGTTTAGGGAAGCTCAAAACCATCATTGTTCATTTACTTGGTCTGCATTCATTTAGTAAAGCGACACAGTTCATAGTAGCTTGATTATGAATGTGAAATGTGAAAGATGTCTGTGTGTGTACTTGTCCATGTGTGTTTCAGACAACACTGCTGCAGGACAAGTCTTTAAAGTGTCCGACAGGTAGATAAACATACTCGAGATGTCTGTGGAGATGTGTGGGCTACCTCTGACCTGTTTACGACCTCTCGAGCTCAAAGCGGCCTGTTTATACAGATCACAGCTTTAGCCACTTAACTAGAACAACAGGGACCTCGCCATGAGCTAAGAGACGGTTTCCCATGAGGACGCGCTCTCTGCCACACACATGCACATGAACCTGTCTGGAAGACTGCAGGTTATGTGGATGAAATCTCGTTTAAAACAATTAGTATTCGTCTTTGCACAACTGTCCGTCTTGTTTATTTTTCTAAATTGTACTTCCATCTTCTTTTATTAGGTCTGGTTTAGCAACCGAAGAGCAAGGTGGCGCAAACAAGCAGGAGCAAATCAGCTGGCAGCGTTTAACCATTTGTTGCCCGGAGGGTTTCCGCCTACCGGCATGCCAACCTTATCGACCTATCAGCTTCCAGAGTCAACGTATCCAGGCACCACTCTCTCACAAGGTAATGCACAGTAGTCCATGACCCCCTGTCTGTAGATACACACTACCGGTTAAAAGTTTGTGGACAGTAAGAGTTTTATTCATAGGCTATGTTTTTGCAAGGATGCATTAAATTGATCAAAAGTGACAGCAAAGAAATAGTTACAAAAGATGCTGAAAATTCAGCTTTCAACATATTGATATAATATAATACAATATAATATAATAGTTTAAATTGTAATAATATTTCACAATACAACATTTTTGATCAAATAAATGCAGGCTTGGTGAGTACAAGATACTTCTTCCAAAAACTCTTTTGAAAGGTGGTGTATACATTGGTTTCATGTTATGGTTTCATGTTATACTAAATGTTTACCATATTAATTGCAATACAATGGTACATATCCGAATTAATATGGTTTTACCATAGAGGTCCAAAAATATTCTACTACCATTTTGGTACTTAATGTTAGACGATAACACAAATAGCCGTAGCACTTTATTTTACAGTCGCATGTACATGCTATTATATTAATGACAATAACTGGGTAATAACTAGGTAATAACTCTGAACCTACCCCTAAACCTAACCTTAACCCATGTAGTTACCTTATGTTACCCTCCTGTACTTTCTTAGGTATAGGTACAGGGGTAAGTACATGTACTGTAAAATAAAGTGCAGCCCAAATAGCTGTTCCTGTCTCACGGTGTCTGTGTTTGTGTCTCAGACGGCAGCAGTACTTTACACCGGCCACAACCTCTGCCTCCGTCCTCCATGCATCAGGGTGGGCTTTCGGCGGACACCAGCTCTGCCTACGGGCTCTCCTCCAACCGACACTCCTTCTCCAGCTATTCAGACACGTTCATGAGCCCGTCAGCTTCAGGCAACCACATGAATCCCGTGAGCAACGGCCTTTCGCCACAGGTTAGTGTGCAGACGCCTCTTCCCAGTGCGAGAACGATGAATGAACGCCAGCATGCTTCAGAGATCAAGAACGCTGGAGAATTAAGCTAGCATCAGCTTCTTGTGTGGAAACAGATCATTTTTGCTCTGATATGGAGAAAGCACAAACCCTGTGAAGTTTGCTTAGTTTCTTTTTCAGGCACTTAAACTTCATTAAGTTTAAAGGGATACTCCACTTTTTTTTGGAAATAGGCTAATTTTACAACTCCCCCAGAGTTAAACTGTTGAGTTTTACCGTTTTTGAATCCATTCAGCCGATCTCCGGTTCTGGCGGTACCACTTTTAGCATAGCTCAGCATACATCATTGAAGTGGACAAGACCATTAGCATTTCTAAAAAATAAAGAGTTTCGATATTTTTCCTATTTAAAACTTGACTCTTCTGTAGTTACATCGTGCACTAAGACCGACGGAAAATGTAAAGTTGTGATTTTCTAGGCTGATATGGCCAGGAACTATACTCTCATTCCTGCGTAATAATCAAGAAACTTCACTGCCGTACCATGAGTGCAGCAGGCGTAATGATATGACGCAGCGCCTGAAAATAGTCCCCAGCTCAGTAACTTCCAACGTGACCGGGATTAAGTGCCTGCGTCTGCTGCTCTCATGGTACGGCAGTAAAGTTTCTTGATTATTACGCAGGAATGAGAGTATAGTTCCTAGCCAAATCAGCCTAGAAAATCGCAACTTTACATTTTCCGTCGGTCTTAGTCCACGATGTAACTACAGAAGAGTCAAGTTTTAAATAGGAAAAATATCGAAACTCTTTGGTCATTTATTTTTGAGAAATGCTAATGGTCTTGTCCACTTAAATGATGTATGCTAAGCTATGCTAAAAGTGGTACCGCCAGAACCGGAGATCGGCTGAATGGATTCAAAAACGGTAAAACTCAACAGTTTAACTCTGGGGGAGTTGTAAAATGAGCCTATTTCCAAAAAAAGTGGAGTATCCCTTTAAAGTCAGCTTTTAAATAGAGAGCACCTGCGTCATGCATAAACTTTATTATAATCATTCCCAAATCTTTGCCATTTTTTATATCAGGGCAGCGTCTTCAAAGTCAGCATGGCTTTCATTTTACTTTCGTTATGTGAAGTACAGGAAGATGGCACATCAAGTGTGCTAAAAAAACAATGTCTAAATAGCAATTTCGCTATTGGACAACATTTATCCCTGTGCGGCTTATGTCACATTAAGAAAGTAAATGGTCACGTCCATGTTGACTTTAAGAGGAAATCGACTGTTTAAACATTTTAATCTAAAGACGTTGTTTGGGTGAAATCTATGTTGCTTTATTCATTAATGTCACACTCAGTTATTATTCCTCTAAAGCATTGGAGAATATGTGTTTTTGACACGAATGCTTTGTTTTGCGGATCTCTTGTTGCGTCATGTCTGGATTGTTGTTGCTGTGCTTCTGTTTCTGCAAGATTTTCCCACTTATCCTCTTTGCTCCCCATTAATGAGTATTTAGGCTGACTTTCTCCAGAAATGGTTCTGTCTTAAATACCCCAGCATTAAAAAATAATGTGTATTGATGCAAATCGCATGGAAGGAGTGAATTATACACAATTATCCATCAATACTGGGCAGTCTTGCCGACCCTCACCAACAAGATGTGGCTAACAAGCATAAAATAAGATTGAAATGGTGTGTAAAGAGTTGAAAATGAATTTCAATGCTGCATTTGTCCACAATTACCCTTTCGTTCACACATGTTTTATTGGGGGTTTCCTTTTCTCTTCGCTGCTCTCTCAAAGCAGATTGAGAAACATTCTCTGTATTACCCTCTTTTTTCCAGAGAAGAAAGAATTAAGGATTTGGTGACAAAAAAGAGCTTTTCCCCTCGTAACTACAACGTCGGAAGGATAACATGGGCGTCTTACAGTGAGAGAGATTGTTAATCGTGGCACAGGGGCTTTGAGCACTAATGCCTTCGCTCCAAACCTCCGTAAATACCAGCAGACATGGAGGTCTTTTTTCTATTAATGGGAGCATTTAACACAGGCGATGGAGACGCTTGCCTCTCGCTTCCTTCTCAGCTGCTCTTAAACACTTTCTCTTACTAAATAGTACATGTTTCTTGCTTAATGCTGCATGTGGATCAAGTCTGCAGGATTTAAATGGAGGAGATTTCTATATGGCGCATGTTTTGAATTTTTAAACACTATATTTCTGTATACTAATATTTGAAAAGTTTGAATGCTTGTTTTGATCGCTTGATATAGTTTGGTAATGCTTTACAATAAGTTTTCAATTGTTAACATTAGTAGTTAACATGAACTAACAAGGAACAACACTTTACATAATTGACTTTTCTTAGCTAATGTTAATCTCAACATTTACTAATACATTTTTCAGATCAAAAGTGGCATCTGTTTACAATAGTTAATGCACTGCGAACTAACAAGAACATTTTTATAACCTAAAATTAATAAATGCTGTAAAAATATATTGCTAATTAGTTAATGCATTAATTAATGTTAACCAATTAGACCTTATTGCAAAGTGTTACTGATCGTTTTATTGATTCATATAAATTGGACCTATATATAAATTTTTGTTTTATTTAAAAAAAATTATGAATTTCTGGAGATAGTAAAGGGGACACCGCCAATTAGCTTTCTTAGTTTTAATAACTATTATTTTATATCATAATAATATATTATATATTGTTTTAAAATAAAATAAAAGCAATAATGTTGTTTTTAATATAATTTTAATTATTTTAATGGAAAATAATTAAGAATGAGTTGTTCAAACTTCAAGCGCTTGAATAGTAGTGTATATTATAATATTTTTAAGTATGCCCTCATTTGTACATGTCAATGGTCCAGATACTTATCAAAACAAATAGCTTTTTAATTATTTTTAATTTAATTATTCACTTTAAATTTCCTAATTTTTCTGATCTGGGACCCCTCTTTCTCTCTCTCGTCCATATGGGAGAGTCATCAAGCTCTCGTTGTGAGGAGATAAATGCAGTTTCTGACAGGAGAGACAGAGTTCAGGCACAACTCAAACTGTCTGCACAAGCGTATAGCTTTCACATGGAAAATCCTCATCTCTGTTTCACAAGGTGCAAGAGCATCTGCTGAGGTCAAATCAGGCATCACTTAACCTGACCCTAACCTTCATTCATTCTCAGTTCACGTTCGATTAATATGTTATAATGGTGTAATATAAGGTAACACTGTAAGGTCCCATTAGAAATGCATTCACTGTAAAAAGTGATTAGTTGACTTAACTTAAAAAAAGTGAGGAAACCCATTGCCTTAAAATTATTAAGTAAATAAACTTCATGCTTAATTGCAAAAAAAATAAGTTATGTTGAATATTTAAGTTCACATTACTTAATTTTTTAAATTACATGAAGATTATTTGATTAATAATTTTAAGGCAATGGGTTTCCTCACTTTTTTAAGTTAAGTCAACTGATCACTTTTTACTGCAAGCAATACATTTGTTACAGTATTCATTAATCTTTAACATTTATACAACTGTTCATTATTAGTTCATGATCCCGTTAGTTCAATTAATAGGTGGAAGAATTGTTTATTCTCAATATTATTAATAATAATTAATTTAACAATTTATTGAACATTGGTGTCTTTTATGCTCTTGCCACCATGTTTTTAACGCATGGCACTTGAGGTCGTGTGTCAGTAGCTGTTTAGTAAAATAAAGCTGCTTGTTCAATAAAAAGAAAGTGGATCTGTTACTGCCGGTAACCTTTTCTCTTTCCAAAACATCAGATGTCACCTTGCCTCCTGTGACAATGTCAAAAAAGCGTATTTTTTTTAAATAAAATGCGTTTATTTTTTAGATGAAAGATAACTCCCTGATATTGGAAGTTTGCAGACAACACCTGTCTGGCGGAGATAGGCGCATGTGCTCAGACCGAAGACCTATTTCTCCTAACGTCTGCTTTTGATGGGCTACTGGTTGCTGGTACAAAATGTGGCGATTGGCTGTAAATGGGTTGTGGTGGTCGAGTGGCGGGCGGTAATGGACCCCTGCTGATCTCAGCACAGGTCTTGTTGTAACCCATCCAGACAGCGCACATTTTCCCATTACAGGCCAGTAGAAAAGCCATCCACCGGCGGTTGTTGTTGTCGTAGTCCTTGATTAGAAGTTTAGGCTCTGGGAGTGATGCAGTGTCAGATGGGGTCTATTAGGCATTAGTTGGCTGGTCCACAGGTCTGCTTTTGGGTTGAGGTGAGCCATATCGCCCCATTTCATTTTGTCGCACAGCAGGTGATGGATAAGGACATGTGCTCTGGGAGATGTCAGGGAAACCACGCTTTTCCTTTGGGTAGAAGACATGGAAAAGTATGTGAAGATGCTGGAAAACAAGTTTCCAATAGACAAAAAAAAAAAAAAAATCTCCAGCTGTGTTTATTTTACAAACATTTTATATTTTGTCCCGATGACCCTCCAAATATCCATACTGATATGGCTAATATGCCTCAGTGTCCCGTAACCAAGCAGAAAATCTCTAATTGATCTAGAGAAAATAAGGCAGAAGTTTCCTGTTTCTAAACAGAGAACAGTAGCGCCAGAGAGACCACGCTGAACATCGGGATGTCAGGTGCTCATGCTGGCTATTATGCCTCTTTAAATGGGATTTTAAGAGTGGTACTGGGAAATGTGTTCCTTGGCAGAGACGTTGGATGTGGATTCCACTGCTCTGCCTGACAGGGACACCTGCTGGGAGAGAGAGGAAAACAGCATCTGTAGACTCAGCTGGGAAGCCATTGTTTCCCTATAAAAATTACATTGAATTTCAAAATGTATTTTACTCGGGGTAAGAGGGATGCTTAAAAAAAAAAAAAAATGAATAGCTTTCTTTGACTTAATTTAACCCAGAATTACAGAATAACCATATTCACATACAAAGGTACATGTATGCATCCAATAAAAAATGCCATGGCAATATCATAATACTAGTCCAAAAACATGGG